GCACATGCATTTCACTAGTCAGTTTGAACAAACAAACATACCTCTACCGAGGTAACAACGTGCATCACTCTTTTCATTTGTAGACAGCCACTCTGGCTGCCCTACTCCACTTGGAGACTGCCCATCCAACGACCCCGTTCTGCAATCCTTTTCCTGTGGAGGGGTCGCTAAATGCGTAATATTGTTAAAGTTGAATACTCTAGAAGGACCCGAAGCTTCCTCCCCCACAGACACACCGCTGTCAGAGGGGCAGCTGCTCAGCTCCAAGTAGCTGCAATTTGCTTGACGAAGAATATCCTCCAACGAAGACACAGTTGAGGCAATGGTTTCCTCTGCGATGCGATCAAACGTTGACGATTGTCCTAACAGGTTTCTTAAGCCACCTATTGAGCTGAAAATGGTCTGCTCAGCACTCGCCATGAAGAGCGGATCAATGGGGCTCAATAGTTGCTCTTCAGATAAGTCTTCCTCCAAGTTTGCTGGTTCTTCTGCTCGTGGTTTGTAACCAGAGACAATGGGATTCTCCTGATAATTTTCATCTGTAACATTCTTCCTCGTTTTTCCTTTAATACCAATTATGCCTTCCTGTACACGCACTTCATTCTTCGCAAAATCAAGATTTTCTGCTTGCGATCTCCCAGATGTACCTTTAGGATTTTCCACCAAATTATCTCCCATCACCATAGTGTTATTGGCGATAACGTCAGGACTATCTCCACTTGATTTGTTGGAAGTGACTGATGAACACTTCAGCAATGACTCCACATCCACTTCCATATCATTTTTTCCTACTCCTAGATCATTTCGAGAGACGCATGAAAGCGTTTCTTGTCGTTCGTTACCAGAACAACCTGGAATCTCCTTGAGGGCGTCATTGTTCAAGAGTTCCTGATCCTTAAGTAGGTTTGCATCAACATCAGGATTCTTCGCTGCTGATACATCTAAAGATTTCCCCACCGATACCTTATCGTCTTCAGCATGCAATTGAACACCAGCTGCTAAGCTTTGTTGGTTTACAGTGTCAGCAGAATCCAACTTGGCCGGCTTATCTTGAATTGAATATCCGTTAGAGCTTTCAGATCTCTCAATAACCATAATGGTGGCATTTCTTTCCTGGTCAGAGTCTATTTCCATATCACTTGTTTCTTCATGTTTTCTGTCGCTCTTTTGCACTGATTCCATACGAGTCGAAATGTAGACACAAGAGTTTGTTTCAGCATCATCTTTCTTCTCTTTCAAATCACTGTTTCTGCTTCCGTTTGTGTTATCGATTTGAATTGAATATCCGTCAGAGCTTTCGGATCTTTCGTTATCAGAGTCTATTTCCATATCACTTGTTTCTTCATGTTTTCTGTCGCTCTTTTGCACTGATTCCATACGAGTCGAAATGCAGACACCAGAGTTAGTTTTACCATTATCTTCCTTCTCTTTGAGATCACAGTTTCTGTTGCCGTTTACGTTATTGCTTTCGGTGTAAAACTGCACCAAAGCCGAAACCACCGAATGATCCATTATACTCTTGGGTGGTCGCCTATCTTCATCATCTTCATCTTTATTGGCGACTTCTTGCGCCACTGAATCCGATGGAAATATTGTTGAATTACCACTTGCCTCTGTCGGAGACAGAAGTTCTGAACCAGGAGGACAACTATTAACAGAGCTACATGCAACATTCCTCGGGAGCGAAGGACGAAGAGGAAGAGGAGGGAGAAGAAAGTGTGGAATGTGGGTTTGGGGAAGAGGTTCCAGAGCTGAGGGCACTGTACCTGGAACTAGTTTTAGCACACCAGGATCACAAGACGTCAACACACCAGCACCAGCACCAGCAGCAGCAGCAGCAGCAGCAGCAGCAGCACCAGCAGTCGTTGAAGGGGTTTTGTGGGCTTTGTTGAAATGATCTGAACTTATACCGATTGAAGCCTCAATTGGCAATGCATTGGCAACAGTGGAGGCTGTCCTCTCGTGACCTGAGCCATCTGTCTTCTCTTCTGCTGCCAAGGTTTCAAAAGGAGCTTCATTCATGTGATTCTCCTTCCTAGTTTTAGGATCGGAAATCTTAATACCTGCCCGTTTTTCTCCTTCTCCTTCTCCTTCTCCTCTTCCTCCACATCCATCAGGACCTAAGTCAGGCTCTGCGAGCATCTTTTCTTCTCCTGTTTCGCCTTCATCAGGACACTTTGGAGTTTCATGACCAAGACTACCTTCCTCACGAGAGTTATTTTCAACATCTGGGATACTCTGTCCTGCTAAACTTGGTTTTTGGTCTTCGAAGATTACAGATCCACTCCTCACAACCACAGCTTCGTCGGTTGTACTTTGATTCACCTCGACATCTTCAGTAACCTCCTTGACGTTCTGCGGCGTATCGCTTGTGTCTTTTTCATGTTGTGAATTCAAATCCAAAGAAAAATCTCCGATCGACTTTAACTCGTTCACATTCTTTATATCAGCAGTTACACACAGGTTTGCCTGTCTGTCTTTTGCTTCACGATTCCCCTCAGAAACAGCATGGTGTAACACTACATCATCTGCAATATCATGCATATCTATGTCGAGCGGTTGATGCTCTTTATCCTCATTAGAATCGAACACTTTGGTTGGAAAACTCTTAATTACTGCATCCTCTTTATGAATGCTATCACTCTCTGCGCCAGCTAGTGGCCCTCTTTGTACGCCATCTCTCCCACACTCGTTTCCCTGATCCCCCAACGATACATCGTCGTGTTCTTCCTCTTCTTCAGACGAATCTTTACCCAGGTGAACATGTGAACAGCTGGTTTCTGGATAATTTGGATCATCGTTGTTTCCGGTAACTCCTTCCACCTCTGTAACCAAACCTTTTTCGAAAATAATTGAAACTTCTTTATCACACAACAGATCATCCGTCTTGGGATGAACAGAATAATCGCATTCAACATTAACATCAATGTGCTTTTGTGCAAAATTTTCAACCGGAGTGCAAGATGATACCGAGTGATTAACATGCGCGCTTTGTACAGAACATCTCTCAACATTCCCATCTTCCTTTGAAACAGAAACAGAACTGGAACTTGCTTCTTTATGAAAAGAAGTAAAACTTTCACACTGCGTCTCCGCGTTAACGTCATCAAATGCTGGTTCTGGAGTATCTGCGTCCTCTGTACACGGCCTTGAGCTTTGACATAATCGCCTCAATCGCTTCTTGGCTCGACGATATAAACGTTCTGAAGATCTGCGTTTAGATTCTGGGGTAATTTCAACAGTGCAAGTTTGGTCCGTTCCAATGGTGGCCAGTTTAGCCCCGTGGTTCTGCCTTCGTACCCAGTTTTCAAGCTGCACTTTATTCATCCACGCAAAAACATATATGTCCCATTTTTCTGGCTTTTCAATCCCGCCAGATTTACCGTGATTAGCAGTTTCTGCATCTTGAACCACCTTAGGTCTCTTGTCAGGGCTGTCTTCATCACAACCAGTATTTTTTCCAGTGGCGCTTTGACTTACTAACTTGGAATCTAAACCACCAGAAAGAATCCAAACAATTCAAAAATATAGATATATATATATATATATGTATATTTTGTAATTTCATTCACTAATTTCCCTCAGATGATAAGGAAACCATGCCTTTCTGATTTCACTTCTATGCCCTCAAACGAAAATCATGGGAATAACACCTCTTGCTGGAGTTTATTAAAATTTGTCCACGGTGCTATGGCACTTTTCGATTGACTATGGAAAGTAATCTAGAACTGCTTTGGTTCTGCTTCAATGCGCTTTGTTATCAGTAACGAGACCACACCCTAGCTTTTCAACCAGTCAGATGCAGAAGTGAAACCAATCCTAATTAATATCATTATTGTTCGGAAAAAAAGATAAATTCAAGGATAAAAACACATCATCGACAGCTACTCTCAACTGTTCACAATCTCTTTGAAAATCTCTCTCAGGAGAATATTTGTCCTTTCAGTGGCGCGCTGATTCCTTTCCAAGGCCGAGCACGCAATTGTCAAAACTCAGGAACCTAGCTAGCCAGCCAGTATGGATGAACTGAACCACCAATCACAGGAGAAGAAGGGTAAACAGTAGATCCTCGAGCCCATGCTCTCTCCGTCTGTGCCTACGTACTAAGTCCTTCGACAGATCATCAACCCCCGATGACTCGTGACACAGAGGTGACACAAAAGTTAACCCTTTCACTCCCAAGAGCAACTAATAAGGAACGTCTCCCTACAATAACAACATATTGTCCAGTAGAGAGGTGATTGCAAAAAGGGAACTTATTAGCTTAGGTATGCTGTTTGATTTAACGCCAAATTCTCCGAGCGAAAACTGAAGGGAAATAAGGGAAACTGTAAAGAGAACCGATCTTTTGATCTTGGGAGTGTAAAGGTTGAGTGTTTGGTTAAGATTGTGAACGAGCATTGCTGAAAGTAGCTGATTCAGATGTATCCCTAACCAAGTGAATACAACACCTGCCTTCTCCCCCAACTGAAGTTCCCTGGCTGTGTGACGTTCCCTGGCTGTGTTTGACCTCTTCACGGCTCTTCCACGGATATCTTTTCTCGCGAATTGTTGTGCGATGCTTTCCTTCCTATCAGAAAATAATCATTCAGGTAAAAAAAAAATTACACCGTATGGACAGTAAAAAATAATTCTGAAAGGTTATTTTTATCGAGAAAAAACAGGCCAAACTTAATTGTATCCAGTAATGCTGATTACTTATCGTTTTGTTGCAAAACTGCATCTTTTCGAGACTATAAAGCAAATGTGGCCGAGTAACTTGATTCAACTACCTTCTGTGTTCCTCTGGGTGGTTTTTGGGCGCTATCCCTGTGTGACTTGTAATGTTGGTGTTGATGATCAGGGAGTCCATGGCCATATTCAAACACTTCAGACTGAGGAAGCTCTTGACCATATCTTGAAATAAAACAAGGAGAACAACATTTCTGAAAGTAGAAGGCTGACAGGCCAGCATGGACACTATTTTGTTTCTTAAGTTATACATTGAGAGCTACTCTGTAAAAGATGTCGTAGGCGTTCCAGGAACTTCGAGTTAATCGTCAGGTAAATTCTGAACGTGGAATCCATTCACACATCTTAACCTATAACTGGTAAATGGTGCACGGAAATTTGTGAATGTGAACCCCTTCCGTTTCCCTTTGAAAAATCCAAACGACGCCCAGTCATTATCAGTCCTATTCCCTAAGTAAAAAGAGAATGGTTCATCTAACAAAATAAAACCATTGGTCAACAAACCTTGCAATGTCCTCATCACTTTCGTGTGCAGACTGTGAGATATAATGACCAGTGCTGTCATCCAACGATAAAGATTCTTTGTGAACTCTGGGCACCACCAGCTCTGTCGGACCCAGACTTCCCAATCCCAAGTCACGTTCCTCAGAGGTCGTCGTTTGGCAGAAGAAACCCTCAACTAAAAAGCAAACGCAACGAAGCTTAATTTTGCTTCCTCTGTCTCAAGTCGTGGATCTTCCAATATCACGACTTATGAGCTCTTTCTCCAGAAGTGGCACGCTATAATATTATTCTATGAGGCTTCATGTACATGTCATGTAAGTCAATGCGACGCTTTTCCTTCTGTGACGAGGGGGCTTCCAGATGCGGTTATTCAATTTCCTTGGGTTCTTTGCTTCCTTTGTTTACCTCTCTCTCTCTCTCTCTTTCTCTCCCTCTCCCTCCCTACCACATTTCGAGGTGAGCAGTTATTCCATAAACCGGTTCGTCGGTGTTGAGATGACAGAAAGAAGCGCTATCGCTCGATGACCTCTAGGTTGCTAAGGTGATTCCTACCCTCCTCTGTAGCTACCTTCAATTTACGGTACCTTCCCTCTAATACTATTAACCATGAGTTTTCACTCTTGTAAAACTAATTATAAGTCTGAACATTAATATAACTATGACACTAACCTGGCCAAGATGATCGTGATATACAAGGTTCTTGAACGACATCCTGAATCTTTTCCTCTCCAAAAGCATACGGTACTTGGCTTTGTTCCACCCCTACAAGAGGGTGCTCTTCAAGGTATGCCGGTGGAGATAAAGTTGGCGACAACATCTGTAAATCGGACACCTGCTGATGTTCATCGCTAACGACAGCTCCAGCTGGTTTGGAAACGTCATTTGATTTCAGTGGTGCAGCCCAGAATCCCAGACTCGGGTGAGTAAAGTCCATGGCTGGGGTGGCCGTTTCAGGTGTGTCTGGAGTGGTTGGCCAGCTCTCAAAATCAGAACTGAGCTCACCTGGACTTATGTCTTCAAGGTCACTATACTCCATGTCAGTTAGTGGTCGTTTCTTTGTTGACAAGGCAAGATACGGATTAGAACTTACTTGTAACAGGCCTTTGGGGTTTCTAGTACATTGTAGCATGAAGAACACTTAGCGGAAGTAATATTTAGCGAACTAGCTATTTATGTATTTTGCAGGAACAAATTTTAGCGACCATGATCATAATAGTGAATTCCAAAAAGAAAACTTTGGTGCGTTGTTTCTTCACCTATTCGGGTATTTTTATTAAAGGAGGAACAGATTCTGCAGATTGGGTGAAGTTTGATCACACGACGAAAGTTATCTAAGCACGCTTGAAAGGGGTTGCATGAAAGATCTACAAAATACACGCCAACATATATTTGTTTCCGTCTGAATGTGACTCACTTTTTCTGCTTCTTCTGTTTCAAGCAGATCTGCCTCTTCCTCTTCCACTTCTTCTTCTTTCTTTTCCATCTTTAAAGGATCTAACCAAAAGAATGTTTCAACACTTGGTTATTTCCTTAGAGGGCATAACATTTTAAATAGTGTGTCTGTGGAATGTAAACAGGCCAGATTTTAATTTTACACTGTTTATCTAAGCACCTTCTTTTTGTCTGTACGATGTGTTTCACAAGAAAACATCAGAAGTAAAAGAGAAGTAAACGAATATATAGTTTGGAGTTAGTTTGGACGCAGAGTTCTAAATTCAGTTCACGATTACATACTGTAGCCTACGCTTCTCTAAATGCAATACACACGATGCTAATTTTAAGCTCAGTCACTGACTACAAAAAGATGATATATATACACTCATAAAAGAGGGGGAAAAGGAAACCGATTCAAGTCTCGATAAACGTAATATTTGAATTTCAAAAAAGACAAACGATCCAAGCACTTTTGTGTTTTGGTTTGATTGAGACAATTCTCAAAACGAATTTGTAATGATTACAAACAAGAGACCAGTTGATATCAAACCTAAAAAAAAAATTGAAAAAGTTAAAAACACTTCTATTTTAAACAGTATGCGTATCAACAGGTTCATCGCATCCTTGTCTATCTTCAACTGACGACTGGAAATGGAAAAACAATTAAAATGTTTTCTTCTGTTCGCAGTTCCTCGCCTATCTTGCTCTACCCTTGTACACTTCCCTAAAGCGTACTAACTTGTAAATTCTAAATTTAGTTACCTTGTAAAATGGTGATCTTCAATCCACCCTTCAAATCGCTCACAATTCGTGGAGGCAGTTCGCGCCTCGACAAGTTGGATACGCGCTCCTTTGGTTGCCTGCATGGCTCTTCGTTTACCTGCCTATCTCTGTGAGAACCATCCCTATGGGAGCCGGGGGATGCCATGCAGCCTCTCCTTTCGTGTACGCTCTTCTTGCTTCTCTTTGTCGGAGAGGACAACTCAGAGGAGTCATAATCTTCGCTTGAACTTTTCCATAGCTTTCTTTTTTGTGCTGGAACCGTCACGTACCTTTTCCGCGCTTTGGGTCGTTCAATGAGGGCGCTGGAACTATCTGCTTCATTTCGGACCACTTCTAGTTTAGGTGTTATCAGCTCTTCAGGCGTTTGGGTTGGCACACTGGTTGAAGCTTGATTGTCAGTATTGCGAGTTACTTTCGATGACCATCGCTGTTTTAATTCAATATCGAAAGATCCATACTCTGTAGACGCAAAAAGGACAACATACGAATCATCAGTTGTTTACATGTGTCACACTCCTGGCAGACTAATGCTATTTTCACGTTACCATGCCTCAGAGTCAAGGTCAGGTCTTGACGGCTTAGTGGCCAATAACAGCAAAAGCTTGTTCGCGGTTTCTGGTCTATTGGAGGCAGCCATCCCCTCCTAACCCCATCCCTACGTATCGTTTTATTTCCTCTTAGATTTTTACCCTTAGATGGTGGAAAGGGACTAGCCCGGGTCCCGTGCGTGGTCGCTGCTCTTCACACTGAACAAAGAAAGTTAAGTAACGAGTTGTGTCTGCACCTAAGCTAAGTATCTCATGCAGCCAAGGTGTTCCATAGTTTCTGACGCATGAGGTAACCAGGAGTATTGAGACTCCCCCTGGATGAGATGCCAATCCATTGTAGGTCATACGGTTTCCTTGAAAAATTATTTGCCGATACCCATTTATACTCCTGGGAAGAGAGTGGCACTGAGCAATTAAAGTTTCTGACCAAAGAACACAACACAATGATAACACGCTAGGTGACCGCAATTCCAACAATTTGACAGGTTGAAAATGAAACAATTTCGACGAATTGAAGGAGCGATCTTTGAACTAACTAATATCTTCGAGACTGAGAGCAGTAACAGAAATCAATTAAGTGACCTCTTTCCACAGTAAAGAAAATAATGTCACGTTTTAACATCAATTTTAAATTTTCGAATACTTTACCGGGAAGGTCCCTTTCTGGGGTTCCTTCATCAGATATATCACTGACATCGTCGTATTCACTCTCCCCTTTAGGCAACGTTTCCTGTGCTGTTTGGTGCGACGGCAAGCTACTGACACCATGTGCTCTAGTCTCGCTAGCATTAAGGGTTGAAGACTCTTCAGGGCCTCTTTCCTCAGTGCTTGTCTCAAAAGATCCTAAGTCAAGGAGCTGAACAACACGTAAGCCACTCTCCAAATGGATGGCTCTTTTCCTGGGGGAGCTCTCCTCTCCACCAAGTATCAGTTTACTCTCTTCTGCGAAACCTTTAAGTGAAACCAATCCCTCATCAAAATAAACTCAATCCTAAGTACTGTACTGGTAAACAATTTAGTAAACAATACAGTAGGTTATGATAAAATAGTCCTCTATTTGGTGAGACTTTTTGACTCTCAATCTATACTCACCCTCTTCGTGAACATACGATTCATCAACCATGGCACTAGGATCTGGATTATCAGGGTTGCTAAAGATGTCGACATCCTCTAGCTCCTCTTCAGCTTCCCGTTGCACTTCCCCTTGCTTCCCTTCCACCTCCTCCTCCAACCCCTCTACCTCCTCCTCCACCCCTTCTGCCTCCTCCTCCATCTCCTGCTCAAACCCTTCCACCTCATCTTCCAACTCCCCTTCCTCCTCCACCTCTCCTTCCACTTCCTCCTCCACATCTCCTTC